AAACGTGCAAACAACTATTGCACACGCACACACACACACACACACACACAGCATAAAAGAAAAGAGAAAACGAACCAAGTGGAAATAAAAACGTTTGGTAAAGTACGCTGTCAAATAAACAGTATACGCCTTTTATGATATAAAAAAAAGTAAACCAACATTTACCAAGAAGTAGCGTGCTATATGCACAAATAACCAACAAATACAACACAGATCGAAAAAAACACTTAAAGTTATTATGAACGGATGTTTGTCTACAAAACTAAATGGATATGTTTGCGAACAAATAACGTGAAGAAGAATAGTTGATAGATACATCAAGTTAATTAATCCATAAAATAAAAAAACATATAAATAAAAAGAAAGAAAGTTAATATACAGTTAAAAGGATGATTTTTTGTTTTTTTTTTGTTTAACGCTCATCCTCAAACTCGTGAAATTCATCTTATTATAAATTAGATTTTTTTTTTGTGTTAGATATGATTATAACAGAATGAAAGAGTTGGAGTAGATTCAGACACGGTATGTTAGAATATATAGATCTATTTTCAAAAATGAATTATAAATATAATAAAATATTATGGAAGAAAATTTTGTCAACAAAAACGCTCTTTTTTTTTCCTGTGATACTGTTGTTAACGTTTGTCTAAAACGGTGATACGCGTGTTTGTTGTTGTTGTTGTTGTTGTGGATTTTTCTTTAAGCTATTATTGTTGTGGTTAGTAGTATTATTGTCATTACGTAATTTTTTTAATTCAACTTTAAGACGTTTCAAACCAATTTGATGACCGTTCATGTTGGTAATCGCATTCTGAGCGGATACAACATTATCAAAACTAACAAATCCTAGATCAAGAAAACAATATCTATGTACTTTGATAGAAAACATATCATAAATCGAGTTTATCTGTCAGAATGTTTAAGATGGAATGTTAATACGATCTATTTCAAGTAAAATGCAATAGAAACACTTTTACATTTTTCTTTAGGATATTTATAGAGAATTATCAAACGTTTGTAATCAGAAATATAAACAAAAATGTAATGGAAAACAAAAAAACTTATAGCATAAAACTGTATTAAAGAATTAAAAACTGAAATATGATCTTACCGAAACATTTACTTCTGTTTGTCAATTTATCAATAAAAACTTTAGCTGAAACAATTTGTCCATAAGGCGCAAATGCTTGTGCTAAATCTGTGTCACTGTATTCTTGTGGTAAATGATAAATGAAAAGATTACATCCGTCTGGTCCTTTAAGAAAATTAGATGAATAACTTTTATGTTTCTATTATATAATAAAAGTGAATTACCTTCAGTAGGTTTTCCCGCTACTTGTGAAGTCAAATAAGATGGAGATTGAAAAATAGGAAATGCTGCTAAAAATAGAAACAAAAACAAGCGAGATAGTCAACTTTAAATTATTAACAATAGATTTGAAAACTAAACACGGTACTTTTCTGCTGTATACTTGAAGCGGAGGAAAATAGAGTAGTTAAAAGTAAAATAAAAAGCTTTTAATTTCATCATGGTACGTGATTTGAAAAAATGTCAAAGATTTCTACTTCAAAAGATGAACAAGAAGCTGTCTACGCTAAAATGACAAATCCGAACAAATATTCTCTTCTGTCGAAGAAGTATGAAATAATGACGCATTCGAAAATATCTACATTCGTAAAAGAAAACTACAAAAAAAAAAGCAAACAGAAAAACCTTGCCAGTCTGATATTTCACTCACGAGCTGATTTGTCTAAATATTTTTGATTACCTGAAATAAGCAGGATTTTTTTATATACTTACGAATCGTAGATTAGTAAATTATTAGACATAGGATTTTTGCACTTACCAGGAGGAACTGGAGAACTTGTTGCGGGTGGACTTGAATGAATATTGGGTATAAGACCTATGTGATAAATGTACAAATTAATGCTAATTGGTCTAAATAAATAACAGGTGTACCAAAAGAAATGGGTCACTTAGTATTTCGCCAAGATTTCTGTCACTTTTCATTGTCAAGACTCGAACTTCTTTATAAAAGATTCCCCGTTCAATTCTCTACAAAAACTATATTGAACATTTTTTATACATGGTATAAATAACGGAATATGGATGAAATA